CGCTCCCACCACGCCCTTCCCCGCCGCCGCCCCTCCCCAGCACGGCGCAAGGCGGGTCGCGGCGAGGCGGGGTGAGACGGCGGGCTTGCCGCGCGCTGGTGGAGACCATTCAAGTCTCTGATCGCGGAGGAGTGCAGACGGCGCAGCCTGGGCAAGACCGCCACCGCCGCTCGCTGGTCCCGCGCGGCCAGGCCACCGAGGCCCTCACGCTGGACACTGCGGGCTGCAACGGCATGCCGTGGCCAAGACGCGCGCGAGTGCAGTGGGCGTGTATGTGTGCGTGCGCGAGTGATAGTTCGTGAGTGCGTTGCACCGGCGGCAGTTCAAGTTACCGAGCAGCACGCTGGCGTGCAAGTTGTGCTTGGCCGTTTGTGATCACTCGTGCGTGCGTGCGTGTGTGTGTGAGTGATTGAGAATACGTGTGTGTGTGTGTGTGCGTGCGTGTTCCTCTGCGCCCCTTTTTGGATACTTGTGGCGCGCGGACGGCGATGCCCTGACATGTGTCGCCTCGACGTGGTGGTGCTGGTGCTGGCGCTGGCGGCCATCAGTCTGCTCTCCTCCCACGCCCAGTCCACGGGATACTCGAGGGGCCCCAGGATCCCGACGCCCTACCTATCGTTGGCGTCGCCGACGGCTAGCCCACCCCAGGACGCCGACCTCGGAGCGCCGTCCGGTCCGGCTCTCAAGACAAGGCGGGCCTTCTTCCCCGAGGCCGAGGACGACCTCGACAACCACCAGCACCATGAGGGTCACGACCAGCACCCGGGCATGGGCGACGGCGACGCCCTCGACCGGCCCCGCGACGCGAGGAGGCTGCCCGGCGGAGGGCCGGGCGGGCCGTCCGACCAGGAGGCGCTGCTCCTGGGCCTGCTCGCCCACAAGCAGGGCAACAACTCTGCGCCGGAGAACCCGCGGGGCGTGCAGGGCAGCCTCATGGACATGTTGAGCAAGAGTGAGTACCTAGTGGCGGGGCAGGGCTGGCGGGCCCGGCAGACTCACCAGGTCCGTCAGGGGAAAGCGACGCAAAGCGACGCAGAGCGAGAGAGTGCGAGCGAGAGCGACACCGTCGTTCGTCAAAACAGATCGGGCCGACGGCTCGCCTCGCCTCGCCTCGGCCGCGGCGGCAGAGGGACGATTAGAGTCCCCTGTCTCGCCTGGATCGTAATTTATGGGTTCTGGTTAGCGCTGCGGGGGTGATTAGACACGTACGAGGAAAAAACAAAAAAGGGGCTAGAGAGCTCCGCGCCGGGCGGGTAGGCAACGCGCAGCGCAGGCGTGTGCGATCAGGTCTGATCGGCTCCGGGGACTCGCCCGACGGGACCAGATTATCCCATCCACGTCACGCGCCACGCCACGCAGCCGCGGGCCGTTCGATTAGTGATGGTTCGAGCTATCGATCGTGTTCCTCAGGTGGTCCTGACCAAAGTCCACTCGCCGGGCGGGGCGGGGCGGGGCGGGCGAGACAGCTCCTGGGGTCCTTTGGCCGTTTGCCTCGATGAACTCTCTCGCTTCACTGCTCTCTCTTACACCTCCCCGTTTTCTCCGTCAGTGGCTTGCTTGCCCCCGGTGATCGGGAAACGGGCAGAACGCGCTCGCCTCCCGCCCGCGCGAGCTAGGCCTGGGCCCTCCGGCCATGACCGACGAGCAAGCACGGCGAGAGGTCGTGCAAGGAAGGTGGCCGATGTATCGCCGTCGCCGTCCCCGCTCACACCACCGACAGCACCCGGGCCTTCGAGGAGGACAGGCTCGGAGGCGAACCGCACCGTGGAGGCGAGCCTGGCGGCGGCGGCGGGGCAGCTGGACTTTCTCCCGTCCATTTCCGCCGTTCGGGCTGGAGCTCCGCTGCCCATTGTCGTATTATTGGTTTAAGCGATTCACCTCCTGGCGCCGTAGAGGAGGCGGGGGGCAAAAGGGGCAGCGGGGTCGAGGGGGCACACCCAGCACGCTACGCCCCGCCTTGTCCGCCCCGCCGGCCCGGCCGCGACCACTACTTCTCCTTTCATTGTGAGCACGAAGGCCTGGATCCCTAGGCTTGCACGTGCGTGAGGCACTGCATCTCCTCGGCGGGTGCGCGGCGCGAGCGGGGCCAGCGCAGCAGGAGGTTTTGCAAGGCGGCGGCTTGCAGCTGGTTGCTCCCGTGCGTCGCCCCGTGTCGCCACGGTGTCCCCTCCTGTCCTCCTGCGGGTCCCGCCCCCCGCCGGGGTTCTGTCCGCCTCTTGGGGGCACGTCGACCTTGGGGAGCGTGGGTGGCTGGCGGAACATATTATAACCGTACGTTTTTGTTTTCTTTCTTTCTTCGCCGTCATTGTTGTGAAAGGGGGCCCCCTGTTGTCTTCGTCCGTCCGCCCACGACTCGTTTTGCGGTGACAATAATTGCACAGTTTTTGAGGTTGCGGCGTGAAGTGTCAAGCCGTCAGTCAGACCAGTGCCAGACGCCGGGGTGCCCCTGGGACCCCGGCGGGCCGTGTGGTCACCTACGAGTTACCCTCGCGCACTTCTACAGAAACTCGGCTCGAAATGTTAGCGCACCGGTTAGGGTGTGTGAAGTTTTGCTGGTCCCCGACAGCACTTTTTAAATATGTCCCCACCGTCGTCCTTTTGGAACCCCTTTCCGCTCGGCGGAGGCGTCGTTGCAGTAAAAGGTGAGATATCTCGCCTCGCCCCGCCACGCTACGCTGCGCCACGCCACGCCACGGCTCAGACACCACCAACCCCTCGCCTCCCCTCGCTGTCGCCAACGGAGAGTGACAGTTGCGCGTCCCGACGGAGGCGACAGTCCAGATTGCTGATGAGTCTGGCGATAAGCTGCGAGGCGAGGGGCGCGAGGGGCGGCAGGTGCAAGCGGGTGGAGGGGGGGGGGGCAATGCAGACAGTTTACCCGACCACGAGGGAAAATGAGGGAGATTCTGCCGACTCATGTCGCTCTTGCGAAACGGCGGCAAAGAAGAGCGCGCCTCTGATGTTCTTCGGCGTCTCTGGTCCGGTCTTTGCCCCCCCCCCTCTCACTCTGGGCCGGACCCTTCCGTTTCCCTTGGGCAGAGGTGTGGGGTGGGGTGCGTCAGTCCCTCCCTAGTGTAGGAGACCGAGAGAGAGACACGGTCTATGAGCTGAACTTCGAGCGTGTGAGTGTGAGAGAGAGAGGGAGCAGAAGGTGGAGAGGGGGTTGCTGTTTTCCTATCACCTTCATGGCCATGAGAAATTATGTCGACGTAGTCCTATCCACGTACACGTAGCTGCGACTTTGAGTCCACGTAAACCAATGTAATTCACGTGGACCCAACGTAGAATCTTCGCAATGCCATAGATTCTACGTAGAATCGACCTGGATTCTTCCCGCATGGGGTGTTCTCTCTCTCATATGCAGCAACAGCCACTTCTTTCAGGCCGCCTCCGCCTCTCTCGCGCCAAGCCTTTACGCCCGGGCCCGGCTCCGGGACAGCGCGGTGCGGGCGGCGCGGACCGGGAAGCAGCGGAGCATGTCGCGCTGCAGGACGGGAGACCTCTCGCCTCGCCGCGCCGCAGTTTGTTTTGGAGCAGACTCGCTCGCTCGCTCGCTCTTCCAAAGGGGGAGGGGGAAAGGAACACAGTACACTGCGGGAAATAATACAGCGGGATACAAAAATATTGGGAAAACTAATGTGAAAGAATGACAAATAAAAAATATGCTGCTCGTGACCATTCGTTTCTTTACTGTTGACGCTTCTTGTTTTCCTGCAAGTCCCTGTAAGTGCTTGTTGCACTGACCCCGGTGCGCACGTGTCTGTTGCAGTGATCCCGCAGACCTGCTGGTACAACTCTGAGCAGTTTGACTGCGGCCTCAGCTTGTCGTGCGTCCTGGAGGGCGGCCGGCCCCTGGACCTGTGCTCGGGGGGCCTCATCTGGTCGTGCTGCGTCGCGCCCAGCAAGGTGGAGACGGCCGACCCCAACGTCGGCGCCCTGGAAAACGCGAGTGAGTATAGAGGTGCCGGATAGGAAGGTTCAGTAGGGCAGCCGGAGGAAGTGACGGGGAGGAAGAGAGGGAGAGTGTGGGTAGAGCTGCTAGAGGTGCTAAAGGTGGCTAAAGCAGCGCTTCCATCCTGGTCCGGCCCAGCACGTCTGTTGTAGTGGTTGTCCCTGTGTGCTCCTGTAGCCCCCCGTAGTTAGGCCGTGCGGCATTGGCCCCCCGATCCCTCGCCACCCAGCCCGTTGTTCCATACG